AGGGACGCGCGCACAAGGTCTGCATTTCGCGTAGCAGCTACCAGCCACGGGTGTCGACCACGACGATACAACTACCACCATCACCGCAATTACGACTACCACCACCACCACCACCACCACCAACCTAATAGGTTTCCCCACTTCCTGGCTCTCCTTAGGGCATCAGCACTTCAGCCCAGCGACTGTGCAGTTGATTGTAAGTTTTCCTTTGCAGGGATGCGCGCATGGCTCTGCTGTTGGCGCAGCAGCTACCAGCCCTGACTGTCGACCACAACTACAACTATCACCACCGCCACCACTAACACAATAGGTTTCTCCACTTCCTAGCTGTGCTTAGGGCATTGATGCACTAGCCTAGCAACTGCGCAATTGATTTTGATTTTCCTTTACAGGGATACGCGCACAGTCTCTGCAGTTCCGCCGTAGGCCTCGACTACAATCACGACTACAACAACCACCACCACTACTACCACCACTAATGCACTAGGTTTCTCCGCTTTCTAGCTGTGCTTAAGGTATCGATGCCCCGACCCAGCGACTGTGCAGGGCGAAGCACTACTTGTACATGCTCGCTAGGGTCGCATACTACTGTCAGATATGCGCACCTACTGTCAAGACAGGAGGAACGCTGGACGAAAGCTGCTACATAGTACGAGCAATAAGCTCGAACAGTATGTTGCCGCAAATTGCAGCATGTTGCAGCATTTTGCAGCATTTTGCAACAAATTGCAGCATGTTGCAGCTGGTCGCGCATAGGGCTAGTGCGCGAGGGACTCAGACTGGAAAAACAAAGCTGAGCAACATAAGGAGAGCAGACAAAAAAAGAAACGTCTATTAATAAATACAATTAATTATTATCCTATACATTATATCTAAAACCTATTATTTATCTTAGGAAGCCTAGAAACAGTGCTTTAATCTACAGTTACTACCGTGCCCGATAGTACTGCTCACGGCGACGCTTCCGCCATCACGAGAGTGCGAACTAGAGGCTGGCATGCTGGTTCGGTGTGCAACGTACGTGCGCGCTAGCACTGTCCGGCCGAACACGCAATACTTTGTGTTGTGGTGTCAAGCCGGCAAGCTAGAGGAGACAGCGCTCGCGGTAGGCTCACAGCAGCAGTCGTCGTTGCTTGCGACAGGAGAGAAGGGCGTGGTGTACTGCCGCAGCAAGGAACAGTGTTAGAGGATAGCAGAAGAGCTTAGATGCAAATACTATCACGCTGACGTCCCCAATCGCGCTGAACAGGTAAAGCAGTGGCTCAGCTCTGGTGGGCTGATCGTGGCTACGTCAGCGCTGGGGACGGGGGTTGATTACCCCAGGGTGGTGTATATACCACACGTGGGGATGCCGTGGAGCATGATCGACTTCGCGCAAGAGAGCGGGCGTGGAGGGCGAGCCGGGGAGGAGGTTGACTTAGTTATTGTTGTAGAGCGTAGATCTGTGGAACAGGAGATGCTTAAGCACAGCAACAACTTATGCGTGCAGGCCATAGGGTTGTTTTTAACAGGCCGCGGGTGCCGACAAGCGCTAATAAGCATGTACATGGATGGCAAGGCTGTGGCGTGCAACAACATTAAGTCTGCTAGATGTGACTAGTGTGGCGAGGGAGTCTGCAAGTTTAAGCGTTTACAGCAGAAGACAAGCACTAAGTGGCAACAGGTTTAAGAGATAATAGATAAGGTGCAGGCAGGATGCGCTATATGCTGGATGCTAGACAACTTAGGGCTGGACAAGTGGCGGACGCACAAGACAATAAAGTGTACAGCACAGGCAGGCGTGCATAGGGTTAACATAGACTATTTTTAAAAGGGTATACACAACAACAGCATTAAGAACAGTTGTTAACGCTGCTCTATTAGTTAGAGGTATTGCGCTACAGGCAGGGACGTTACAGCAAAGTGTCAATAGCCGAATGTAGTAGTACCGCTGGTACGAGCAGCTGCTGTTGGGGATGGCTGGGCAGTTGGGATTATCTGACAGTGCGGATACTGCGGAAAGCTAGGCGGAGACTGGAGAGAGT